GATATTTCTGCCTTCAAGAAAACGAGACAGGGTTGTTCTACTGAAGGAAGAGAGTCTTAAGGTTATTGCTCAGACAACATCAGGCTGACCACCAGGCATGTGAATGAGATCATCTTAGATAACCCAGTTTCAGCTGAATTGATCCAGAGCAAAACAGCTGTCCAGGAACCAAAGGAACCTGACAGATAAGTAATGTTTCTTGCTTTAAATCTCTATATTTGAGTTGGTTTCTTATCCAGCAAAAACTGCCTGATATGACACCTTCACAACTCCTTTGTATATTTCAACTTAATTGTAACATCCTTAAGCACAGAGCCACATGGACTGACACCCTCTGAAGCTCCCTCAGGACTCAGCATTCTGCTTCACTCATTTAAGGAGCAGAGGACATGTTTGTTGATTGACAATCTTATCCGAAGTTTCCACTGTGCTTCAAGAATCAGTTAGTGATTTAATTCCTTTAAAGGCCATCTTAGGTCCCCAAGAACCAGCTAAAAACAAACCTGCTACATCACATCTTCTTGAAAAAAAGACTAACAGATCGTAAGCTTTGAAATCAACTGTAGGCTCTATGGAGGGATATTCTGCTAAGGTTTCAAAGACACAGGCATTAATATAACCTCCCCTTTCAGACTCAGATCCTCTCTGATTTCTCCATCAGTTCCTGCAGAGAATTTGAGGTCAAAGGGAATGGAAGAGTCTGCTAGTTCAAATGAATTAAGTTGGGGATGATTAGAAATTGAATCTCAGCTGACAAAATGGGGAAGTAAAATTTCTCTGAAAATATTATTTCCGTAGTTAAAAGGAATTTACATGGATATAAATGACGTTCTGTCACTTAAAAATGCTCCCACAAAAATATACATAAGATTTTCACCTCGAGGCTGAAAATGAGAAAGTTGGACTATATGATGAGTAAGAGCTTATAAATACATAATGCTCTATAGAGAGTTCTGACATCGTGAGATGCTGTCCATCTTTTCCTAATAAAAGCCATAAATTTCTACAGGGTCGTGTAAAGTAAAAGGTTATTTTGAACGTTCTAAATTAGTTTCTGAAAAAGAAGGGCAGGATTTCTGTCTTGTGCCCCTTGAGTTCCCACAATGTATTTATTAAGACAAATACTAGCCACTATGATGAAGTTTATTCTCACTCATGTAAAGTCCAGAATGAGCCATCAAAATAGGTGGTGGAGGTTTGGGTTGGGTACAGAAAAGTGCTGTCCACACAGTGGCTCAGTCATCTTCAGCATGTAACTTCTGTGGCAACCCTGAGTGTCAATTCACTCGACAGAGGAAGACAGAAAGGGTTATTCATCAGAGAGTCTTATCCAGCAGGCCTAGAAAGTAGTGTACACCCGTGTGCCCACATTTAATTGGTAGAATGCAGTCACATGATCACATGTAACTGGAAGGGAGGCTAAAAACATAGTCAGCCTCCCACAGATTGCCACCAATAAATGATATCCCCCCCATAATAAGAGCATCCCATAGATTGTGTCACATCCAGACTTGGAGATTCAGTGACATCCAGCTAACACAGTTTTGGCAGGAAGTGTGATTGCATGCCAAAGTCATTTCCCATACAAAACCAATAAACAAATTTAGTCAAAAGTACTAGTTTACAACATATTATATTCCTAGGGCAATGATAAGACCTACAAATCATAAAAGAAAACATATACCACAATGTCTCCCCATTGGGAGCTTATAGTGAAATTGAACACATTTGACATATTCACTGAAAGATTTGTAAATAATGTTGCATCAGTTCCTAAGGATGTTGCCCTGTCATAGATATGTGCATATTTATAAATTTTTCTAATGTATTTTTCCAGAACATAAGACAGTACAAAGAGTTTAGAGGTAGAAGAGATCCTGCCATCATTTGAATGTCCCCTCCAAAACTCACATTGAAATTTAATTGCCATTGTGACAATATTAAGAAGTGGGACCTTTAAAAGATGATTAATATTGTTATGAGAGTGAGTTAGTTATCATGGGAGTAGGCTCCTAATAAGAAGATACATTTGGTTCCCATTTCCTCTCTCTGTATTGCACACTTCCTTGTCATGCACAGCCATCTGCGGTAGCATGACCCGGCCAGATGCTGATGCATGCTCTTGGACTTTCCAGCCTCCAGAACCATGAGCAAAATAAACTCCAGATTTTTTAATGAGTTACTCTATCTGTGGTATTCTGTTACAGCAGCAGAAAATAGATGAAGAAAGACAATGGTACCAAGAAGTGGGTTTTTGCTATAACAAATACCTGAAAATGTGGAAGCAGCTTTGAAACTGGGTAATGGACAGAGGCTGAAAATAGCTGTGAAAGATATGGACAGATTTTGAAGTGTCTGGTTAGGAAAAGCCTAGATTACTGTAAATAACATGTTAAGGACAATTCTAATGAAGGCTCAGAAGAAAAGGATAGTTGTAGGGGAAATCTGGAACTTCTTAGAGATTACTTATCTGGTTGTGACCAGAACATTGGTCAAGCCCATTCTGATGAGGACCCAGATGAAACTGAGGAACAAAGTATTGGAAACTGAAGTAAAAGAAAATCCTTGCTGTAAAGTAGCAAAAGCCCTGGCTGAATTGGGTACTGGCCTGAGGGTTTTGTGGAATGCAAAACTTAAGAGCAATGAACTAGGATATCTGGCAAAAAAAAAAAAAAAAATTAAGTAGTAAAGCAGTCAAGCAGCTTTGTGGCTACGTTTAACTGCATACAGTAAGAGGGGAGGGAAGAAAACTTATTTAAAGAGAGAATTTATAATTAAAAGGCAAGTAAATGGGAAATACAGAAAATTTTCAGCCATGTGAATAGCGTAAAGATGCCTTCAGGAGAACAAAGGTAGAGTGTGGTCAAGTGATTATCTGCTAAAGAGATTATTATGGGTAGAAGGAGGCAAATGCTATTCATCAAGACCGTGGGAGAAAGACCCCAAAGGCATTTTAGACGTCTTTTGAGGCTGCCCCTCCCGTCACAGGCCCAGAGCCCTAGAGAGGAAAAGTGGTTTCAGGAGATGAACCTGGGGCACCTTTGTTGGGCTCTCTGCCCATGGTCACTTGGAGACTCTGCTCCTCACATTCCAGCACAGCACTCCTTCACATCTCAAGCCACGGCTCAAGTGCGCCCAGGTGTGACTCGACTAGGTGCAAGCAGATACAAGTAGTTAACTTTGGCAGTGTCTGTGTGACGTTAATTCTGCAGGCTCACAGCATGCAGGAGTTATGGAACCACGACTTCCTCCACCTACCATTTGAAGAGTGCTGCTTGGGGACCCAGGCAGAGACCTGCTGCAGAGGCAGAGCCATCTGCTAGGGTAATGCCAAGTGGATTCATGGAAGTGGGACTACCCAAAATACCCCAGAAGCATAGGGCCACCAGCATGCAACTCCAGCCTAGAAAAGCTGCAGGCATGAGATTCCAACCCAGCAAAGCCATAGAGGTCAATCTCCCTCAGGTTTTGGGGGCCTAACCCCCGCCTCGCTGTACCCAGAATATAGGACATGAAGTTTAGGAGATTATTCTCCAGCTTTAGCGCTTAAAATTGTTTTCCCTTTTGGGTTTTGAATTTACTCGAGACCAGTTGTTCCTTTCTTCTTGCCATTTCTCTCTTTTGAAATGAGGGTGTCTAACCTATGCCTGTCCCTTTATTGCACTTTAGAAGCAGATAACTTGTTTTAATTGTGTAGGTTCACAGCTGGAGGGAAAGTTGCCAAAAGATTAATCATGCCTTGAGCCTTGCTGATGTGGATGAGGTTTTGGAGTCTGGACTTTAGAGTCAATGCTGGAACACTTAGGACTTTAGGGGCTGTTGGGATGAAATGAATGTATTTTGTATCGTAAGAAAGCCATGGGTTTGGGGGGGCCGGGGTGGAATACTATGGCTTGAATGTCTCCTCCAATACTCATATTGAAACTTCATTGCCATTGCAATGAAGTTTCAATATGAGTGGGACCTTAAGAGGTGGTTATCTCATGAGGGTTCTGCCTTCAATCATGAACTGATGTCATTACCTTGGGGGAGTAGGTTAGTTGCTGTGAGAGTGAGTTCCTGCTAAAAGGATAAGCTCCACTGGGCATGATGTCTCCTGACTGTGATCCCAGCACTTTGGGAGACAGAGGCAGGAGGATCGCTTGAGGCCAGAAGTTTGAGGCTGCAGTGACTTGTGATGGTGCCACCTCACAGAGTGAGATCTCATCGTAAAAAAAAAAAAAAAAAAAATTGGCCCTGATATTTTCTCTTTGTCTTGTATTCTCAATTGCCACGTGAAACCTTCCACCACGGGATGACCCTCACTGGATGTCAGCACTATATCTTGGACTTCCCAGCCTCCACAACTATGAGCTGAATAAACTTCTATTTTTTATAAATCACCCAGTCTGTGATACTACATTAACACAGCAGAAAACAAACTAAGAAAGATGCTTAGATGCTAATTTATACCTCATGGTAGCCTGTGAAAAGGTGTGTGAAAATGAAAACAATATCATGAGTCATTGGAAAAGTTCATGGAGAAAATATGACAAGCTGGGCTTCAAAGAATGGATAATTTGTGGGTATTTCGGAGCAGAAATCAGTCTTCAGGGCTGTAAGCACAGGATGTGTGTTAGCCTGGCAGCACAAAGATGCCTCCTGAGACTGCTTTGAAAAGTGTGTAATTCAAGTATGATGAGCCTGCTGTGTGCAGCACTGAGGTTAATCAGGAGCCAGCAGCAGGCAAACCAGACCTGGGTCTCCTCTCATAGACGGCACAGGTATATGCAGGAAGACACTGACTTTGCCTGGGGCCAGACAGTGGGGAGACTTTCCTGAAAACGTGGCATACCTGTAACCTGCAGGCTACATACATAGTTGTTCCTGAGAAAATCGGGTCCATTTCATTCTCGGATAGTAGGGAGCTATAGCAGGTTCTTGAGAATCAAAATAGCACAATGTAGAAATTTTCATTTATGTTCTTAAGTGCATCCAGTGAAGGGGAGAGGAATCTTGAAACATATCTTAAATTGGTCACTAAGAAAATTAGCGAAGGCACCTTGAGCGTTAGGAGAACCAGTCACTGCTGTGATGTGGTCACAAAGGCCCTTAGAATGCCCCCCTTTCCTCCCACAAAATATGCTTCTACTTGAAGAGACTTAAAGTCAGTGAAAGTCTTTTTTTTTTTTTTTTTTTTTTTTTTTTTTTCTGGAAGGAGCGGGTCCCAGGTGTGACGCTCTGAAAAGTCTCCAGCCAGGTCTGGCTTTGAAATCAGGCAGCTGAGAGGAAATCTGCATCTCCATGACACACCAAGCAGCATGGAACCTGGACACTTCCTGAGGGGCTGAATACACATCCCCAGCCCGGTGTCTCTCCCTTCAGAAGGACTGTTTGCCCACCTGAGCCCAGCCAGGCCACCCATTCCCCACTGCTTCGCAGGAGGAACTGAGGACAGCTGCACTCAAAGTGAAGCCAGGAAGCTCCTCGCAGTCTCTCCAGGGGGCTTTGCATCACAAGAGGGACAGTATTTCCTTGACTAGGAAGGCTGTGTTTGTCTGAGGCCCCAGGGAGCTGATGAGGTGATACTATGGGACCTCAGTGCCTCTGGGCCTTGCTGCAGGGCTGCCCGAGGTTGGCCAAAGCTCAGCAAGGCAACACTGAGGGCCCCGGCCTGGGCACAGGGGTAAAGAGCTGCGTTGGTAGGAAATTTGCAGATGTGTCCTGCTGATTGCTTGTAAAAGGTACAAATTAGAGGTCTGCCCCCAGCACCGAAGCCAGAGGCAGTCCATATGCTAGAAGCCATTTCCCTGGGAAACCTTGTCTTTCTTTTTCAATGAGATGAGCCTGTTGCCTGTTGGGGTGCAGCGGGAATGCAGCGGCTTGGGGTGTCCTGCTGTTTGGGAATAGGTTCTTTGCACACGGCTCTGTTCCTCCCTAATCAGAGGTGATGGGGAGGGAGGATTTGCCTTTTCTGAAATCAATCTAGAAATTGTCAGAAACAGAGAAGAAACTAACTAGGACACTTGCCTAGAAGACTTAAAACAAGACAAGATCACAAACACCACAGAAGTCTGCACTTTACGCACTGAGATGGGAAAGGGACAGATGCCAGACACAAAGTGAGGGTGTCGCCAACAGCAAACATGGGAGCTTCACAGGGAGTACAACTTAGCGGTGAAGGAAGGAGTTGTGTGGGGGCTGCAGGCTTGCTCTGGGTGGGCACCCACCCACTGGAGCTGAGAGGACGGCACTCTCCTGGCCCCGCTCCTGTGCTAACTGGTCTAAGAAGCCCGCACTTCTGAGCGGTGCTCAGCAGAGATCCTCAGATCAGAATCCTGGGAGGTGCCATGTACAAGCTGACGTTGGCTCTCACTTTAAAGTGAAAATAAGCCAGGCACAAAAAGGCAACTGTAGCATATTCTCACTTATATGTGGGGGCTAAAAAATTTAAACAAGTGGAAGTTGAGAGTAGAAAAATTGGTAAAAGGTGGAGAAGGGCAAGTGTAGACAAGGAGAGAATGCAGAGAAGTGACATAAGGATACGCACATGCAGGAAGATAGGAGGAAGACACTCCACATCAGATAGCGGAGTAGGATGACTATACTTAGAAAATATATTGTGGCCAGGTGCGGTGGCTCACGCCTGTAATCCCAGCCCTTTGGGAGGCCGAGGCGTGTGGATCATTTGAAGTCAGGAGTTCGAGACCAACCCGACCAACATGCTGAAACATCATCTCAACTAAAAGTACAAAAAACCTAGCCAGGTATGGTGGCAGGCGCCTGTTATCCCAGCTACGTGTGAGGCTGAGGCAGGAGAATCGCTTGAACCTGGGAGGTGGAGGTCGCAGTGAGCTTAGATCGGGCCACTGCACTCCAGTCTGGGCAACAAGAGCAAAACTTTGTTTAAAAAAAAAAAAAAAAAAAAAAAAAAAAAAACAAGAAAAGAAAAAAAAAGAATCTTAGTTCAAAGAAACTATGAAAAGTTTTTATCACAAGTCTTTCTGGGAAGCTGTTTTATTTTGTTTCTAATCAGTTAACATTATCTTTCTGGTAATTTTTTGGGAAAGTCTGGTGTCACTGGATGCCTCTTGACATCCATTGAGGCTTATTTCTCAAACTCCTGTGCTCTGGTGCTCCACCTACCTCGGCCTCCCAAAGTGCTGAGATTGCAGGGATGAGCCACCGTACCTGGCCAGTGAGTCTTGTTTCTGATGACGATGAGGTGTTCGGAGGGAACGTGGTGCACTGTGTCTAT